CATTCACCACAGCAGTAAATTTGAATTTCCTTGTCGCATTTGACTTTCTTTTGTCCACATTTGACCTAGAAAACCTATTAATACCCAGCTTAGCGACAGGCAAGGGAGGAAGAATGAAGGGTGCGATGATAATCACTTCTATTTGTAATGTCGGGGTGTTGGGTTGCATTTTTTTTTGCAGGTCTCATCCTTGATCTCTGTCAAGCCATCTGTCAAGAAGAGACAGGCATTATAAACAAGAGGGAAATGTGAAAAACTGAGGAAGAGGAGGCGGCAAGTTGCACGCTTCACGGTTGACGCTGCACAGCTGACAAAGGATGAACTTAACAATACAGTTTTGGAGAAAAGAGATTCGTGAGATATGTGAGGATGAGCACGACTAAGCACCGTAAAAGAGCAAGGGCACCATAACTTAGATGAGAGGAAACAACAGCATGATATACATGGTTGTCATGAAGGAACCCCACAACATTAGTCACTGCTTTTGAAGGGACTATCGGATGCAGTCTATATCTGACAGAGTTTGATGGGCCTGAAAGGTTTTCCTCCGCGCCCGCCAAGCAGCGAGACATGTCGTTAGAGAGCACTGTGGTCGCATATGCATTGAATGGATATAAACGATACCATGATAGGAATAAGGCAGCAAGAGATTAAAATTATCTCCATCCATTTCCGCTACTGTATGCACCCTGAACACAGATTGGATTAATGCTGCTGCACGGATTACAGTCACTGGGTTGGCAGCAATTTCATGTCTTATGACATTCTTCAGGGCAGGCAAATTGCTAATAATCGCTGTTAGAGTTCTCAATCCAGTGACAGCATCTAACTAATGCAAGAAATTGCTGCGTTGTGAGCGTAGGTATGTTGCCCTGGGTTTTGCTTTATTTCCCCTTTGGGGAAATAAATGTGGTGATCCGTGTTTTAACATGGAGTCTCTGACTCAACTGGAGGACAAGGCCGTATTTAGGGGGGGGGGGGGGTTTCGTGGGGTTCAAACCCCCCCCCCCCCCCCCAAACCCCCCCGAAATATCTTCCTTACATTTTTGCCATACTGCTATTCGTTGGTGTAAACGGTGCAGTACTTGGTCTTTTCTATCTTTAATAGCTTATGACTTATTAAACACTTCAACTTACAGGAAAATCCAGATATGTCACAAAGACTTATAATGACAAGTATAAAAAGAAAAATAGCCACAGCGCGTACGCCAGACCTCAACCCCCACCCCCGAAATGAAATCCTAGATATGGCCCTGCTGGAGGATGTTTGGTACGTTACCTGTGAGTGGTCAGATCCGGAATTTTTTTTATTTTCATGAAATAAGGACAGAATATGCAGTGAAAGAATATGGACTCGGAGAAGTTCATCATGAAAGTGCGGAGACATCCCATCCGTTTCTGTATGGCTAGAGACAGTGGCAGCGACGTACAGTATTTTGGCTCATGAGCCGGGGTTGAGAGGGAGGGGGGGGTAATGAGCACAGGTTCTCAAGGGCGAAAAAAATCATTCGAGAGGGTGCTTGGCACTTTCAGGAGCTGCCCTCTCCCTTAAAATAGGACACAATAGATCAAAAGAGTATAGGGACTAGATAATGAAGGAAAATCCATAGGAAAGTACGAAGAAAGCTTGGATGTTCAGGCGAATCCAGGCCGCTCTTCACAGAATGTAACTCTAGTCATTGCGTCTAACTATGCCAAAATTGGGCACCTTGCATGATTTCGACATGTCTGTATAATAATTTTAAAAATTAGTTTAAAATTTTTTAAAGAAGCTTAGTCAATAATCTTGAATCTCTTCAGCTAGAAGTGCGATTGCTCAGTATAAATTGCCTTCTGTCTGACGAAAGCGACGGCGGAAAGCGGCAATTTCCGTTCTCACATTTATCGAACTTCCGCCATTCAGTTGATGCGCCGTCTTCCGCTCTGAATAAATCCACCTAGACAGATGCAGTTATGGCGTTTCGTTAAAATTTGTTCAGCAGCCGATGTTTGTTAACTCACCCCAACAGGTGACCAAGTATTCTGTTTAGAGTTGGTATTCTTTATATTGGATATTCAAGTACTTTGAGAACCTACGGCACCGATGTACAGGGTGATTATAAAAGAAGTTCCCTTCTTCAACACATCAGATCTCGTAAATGGCTAAACACAGAATTTTGAAAATTAATGCGAGTGTTACAGGGTCCATGGGGAAGACAATGTTGTATGTAGGGTTGCCACCCGTTCATAATTAGTATGGGCAGTACATATTTCAGATGCAATGTCCATACTGCAAACTGGTCTTAATATGGACACTGTTTTGTCCATATTTCAAACTTAAGATTTTTTTTTAGTTAACAAAGTCTAATAACAACCAAAATCGCCCTTTTCCGTAAGTCAAAAGCAGTAGGCCACACTCTTATAGTATCTATTGGCGCCTTAGCTTAAAGCGGCTGTGGATGCGAGTATACTTGAAATATTTGTCCATAGTTCCATATGTCCATATTTTGTTAAATTCAATGGTGGCAACCCTAGTTGTATGTGTTGTGCGCTGTCAACAAAAGTGAGCTTATGGCCCACTTAAGAAGATCCGTTGTGTTCAATGTGTGCTCCTCCATTATCTACTATACATTGCATTTGAGGGATAACAGACATGACAGCAGCTCGTCACACATCCTCCGGTATGCAGGCCACCTCCCTGACAATGGCATTTTTAAGGTCTGGAATCGTGCGTGGAGTCCCTCGGAACACGCAAGACTTCAGTAACCCCCACAACCAAGAGTCTGCTGGTGTAAGGTCCTGGGAACAAGCTAACATTTGTCATTCTCACCTTGCAACAACGAAATGTGCTGGGCACCGAATGCTGAAACCTCCTTTAGTTAACGGTTCTTTAAGAATACATGGACTTGGAGGTAAAAGAGCTCTTTAGCTCGAAGGCCTCTTCATCTCCCTTAAATGAAGTTTGTGCTTTCGGGCCATTGGGTGGATTGCATAAAAGTGACTTTAGGGTAATGGAACTTTAAACCTCTTTTAACGGCGCTAAAGGAGGTTTAAAGTCTTTATGCAGGATGGCACTACTCCTCACACTGGCACCCATGTCAAGTGCGTGTTGCAGAAGCACTTTCAGGATCGCATGATTTCCTCTGCGTTCACCGGACCTTACACCAGCAGATTTGGTTGTGGGGGTTACTGAAGTCTTGCGTGTTCCGAGGGACTCCACGCACGATTCCAGACCTTAAAAATGCCATTGTCAGGGAGGTGGCCTGCATACCGGAGGATATGTGATATGTTGCTGTCATGTCTGTTATCCCTCAAATGCCTGCACAGGGGGATAATGGAGCAGCACACATTCATGGACCAATTGTTCATTTTTATGGGCAGCAAATGACACCTAGAGCATTGTCTTCCCCACGGCCCCTGTAGCATTCGCATTGATTTTCACAATCCTGTGTCTAACCGTTTATGATATCTGATGTGTTGAACAAGGGAACTTTCTGTATAATCACCCTGCAGAATAGGCGTGAGGGGATTACTGTTGCAGGTGGGAAGTACCATATCGCGCCCGGTGAGCTAATGAAAAGCGCGATGGAGCTCTTAAGGAGATGGAGCCATTCATTTTTCTCCATGTATTTGACATTCTTGGTGCTGAGGGGCAACACCTTGTATTTTACCTTCCAAATGGACGATAGTGTCCATGACTCTAGGGTCTGACCTTTGCCAAGCACAATGCCAAGACGGACTAGATTTGCATGCAAAGTGGATGTCGTCGCGTTGGATCTGCGATCTTGTGATTTTGTGATGGCGCTTTGACTGTCGAATGGCGGCTTAGTGGCTTCGATCAATCGCATCAGTAAATTCTTTAGTTTCATTCGTTCGCTTACGAGGATAAAGTAAGCCACAGTTACGGCTGTACCTCTCTCAGGAGTAATTATGGGCATAAAGTACCTCGCTTCAAATGCCAATGCATTGCCAACACTCATTTGCATCTCCTCATTCCTATGATAATGAATATGATGTACAAGAGAGTATTTACATTCATTTATCCAGGTTGTACCTGCACTCCACCACGTGCGCTACATTGACTTCGAAATCGAACTGATGTTGCTGGAAGCATCTTGAACTTATCCGAGATGCAGTCGCTTCCGGCTTCAACTGCCATTGAATGGGGAGGAGTGTACCATCATGCCTTCAGGTTGCCATCCGATGGGTTCTCGCCAGCGAGTACTCGCCTGAAATCTGAAATCTTTCAAACTCAGCTTATGCGCTCAGGTGGATGGATACACCAAGAGAGTGACCCTGGCGAGTACTCGCTATTTGTGTCTAGGCTTTAAGGTATGAAAAATACGAAATGGAGGAGCCACGCGGTTGTCTCATCTGCAAATAAGTGATTTCTGCATTGCGCACAGGGGTGGAGATTTTTTGTACGAAACCTCTGTGCGTCAGGGCTTTCATGGGGATACGGCCTGGGTCAATTATTATAGCTTTAATTTGTCCATCATCTAACCATTAGGGCGACCAAACAATAATTTTACTGCAGAATTTAATGCTATGTATGAGCAGACCTAAAGTCAGCAGGGTTTTCCATTCTCGCCTTCCCCATAGTTAAAGATTCTGGTATGGCCACTGGCTAGAATTAAGAAAGGAGAGCATATACATGTGCTTGAAAAAAGCTGAGAATGGTACACTTAAGTCGAGAGCACGTTAGGACGATGGTGTACCGGAAGGAGCAACATTTTCTGAACTTTTAGAATTGAGTAATGAAATGTAGATACCTTGCACTAAATGTCAAATTTCTAACACCCTCTTTATACCAAAATCATCTCTTGGTAAACAAATTTAGCAACACTGCTTGAGCTTCTACGGGAGCATCTCCCCAAACAAGTGTTTTCAGTGCTTGTCAGCCTCGACGTCGTCCCATATAAAGCATTGGGGAAAAGATGTAAAACTTAGCTGGAAACTTCATTGCTTATCTCCCTTCGGCTTGCTGCTCTCGGAGAAAATATGGAACTCAAAAGAGGGAGTGAATGAGCTGTAGTGAGCACGCGTGAACAGCACTGCGTTCTCGTGATCACCGACGGCGACGGGAAGCCGAGGGAGACCAGGAACAGACTGTCGTGTTTTTTTGTGATGGTGACTGAGTTATTTTCTAGGCTTTGCTTGTGCTTGACTCCTTGTGAAAGCCTCAGATGCGTCGGGTCCGAATCATGAGAGCAACTCGCATCTGTTTCCATCCCTCACACAAGTGGGGCTTATCGTTCGGTGGGCTTGCACCACATTGACACAGCCTTCTAGGCCTGTTCCCTTTTATTCTGCAATGGTCAAAGAGAAACCCGAGTCTGTCAGATTGTATGATGAAGATGGGTATCGGCGAAGAGCTGCATGTATCTGTGTTCGTAATGAAGCTGAATCTGAGGTGAGCAAGTGAGCATACTTTATAAGTGAATTATATGCATAGGCCTAGTCGAATTCCTAGGTTTTTCTTAATAAATGCAGAGACTCCTGTGCCAATTAGGCCTCCCTATATCCTTTGATCCTAGGTTCCTGCACAGGTGGTGGTGGTGTTGCCTCCCCCTGCCTTTTTGTTGTTATGTGCTCCTATTTTTCTGTCATTAACTTTGTAAATACAGACTTAAAGTGTGCTTGGTTGACATAACTGATTAGATATGGCTGCATTTTCAATAGAGGATAATCAAAGGGCCATTGCAAATTTGTTAGTTTATGATGTTGGTATAGATACCATCATTCATAGGTAGTTTGAAGCTCTTGACAAGTCTTCCCTACCTGCAAGCACAACTCGTAGATTGATGTAACAATTTTGAAGCACCTTTGATCCTCAAGAAAATTATCTATGTTTAATCAATTGATGCAACCAGCTATGAAAGAGTCTGGAAACTAATTTCCAATAAATACAATGCAAATGGGTGTTGGAGAAACAGTCATGTGCTTAGTGCTTAGCTTCATGCTTGGCTTATAACTTGGATTACAGTGCTGCTCCTGGATAAAGAAACAGGCTGTATCACAATGATTACAATGATTAATGTTTTTGAATGAAGGTTTGATTTTTATATGTAATGAGGGATTTCATAGAATGGTCACTTCTCACAAGAGGACTTGTAGAATGAGGACTAATGTTCTATGAGTCACTTTTGGATCTCCTAACATGTCTAAGTCTATCAGCAGACATTTAGTCTGCCTGCAAAAATGTAGCAAGAAATGTTTTCTCTGCAAAATCCCTATTTGTGTGAAAACTATGCTTTCACCAAGTATGCCAGTCTATAGGCCTAATTCTGAAAATTTTTCTCATTTTTCATGAGTCATTCACAGATATTTCTTTAATGATACCAAAACTAAACTTGGACTCATTGAATACATAAATATGAGTAATAATTGAAGAATTGGCTACACCCCAAGCTTTCTTTCATCCTGGCTGCCATGACTGTCTGCAATGGATGTTACCTGCTCTCCTTGGCCTCCTTTTTAATATATTGACTGAATTGTCTATCATGTCTAAACTGAATATTTTTTAGCTTCATAACTCCATCAATCTGTTTCAATGGCTAGCTACCCATTTTTACTTCTGAAAAGCAAAAGACTCCTTGAGACATTGCTAACTAATCTTATGTATGCTTTTTGCACCAACCCAGGAACTTGTTATACTCAGTGGCTGATTACCAAGAGATAAAAGATGCCTCCATCTGCATATAGGCCTTTTCATGCAATGCATATGGCCAGAACTCAGACTGGGTTTATATAGACTTATTAGATGTTAGAATGTGTCCTTTCATCTTGGAGACTGTTATCTACAAGTTGAATGCCAGTCAACCAACAGAGTTCTTTTTAATGGTCTGCCTTAGTATGGATATTGAGTAAATGGCTTTATTAGAACTTGTGTGCAAAGTATCCTGTTTAAGCAATATCATTATGTCAAGTATCATCATGCTATCCAAAGAAACTTGTCATTGTTCGTGACAGACTCATTTTTCACCAATGCATGAGTTCAGGCTTTTCAAGATCTTACATCTTGCTAACAGATGAAAGATTTACTTTGCCTGGTTCATCACAGAAAGCACAACAGCTTCTTTGGCCAGGGCACAAAGTCAATTCAAAATCTTGGAAGTCAGTCATATATCAATAAAGAAATGTAAAATAAATGACTGAATTTTGTAGGTTCTGTTGGTAACCTCATCAAGGCAACCTGAAAGATGGATTGTGCCAGGAGGTGGTGTTGAACCTGAAGAAGATGAAGCTGGAGCTGCCATGAGGGAAGTTGTAGAGGAAGCTGGTGTTCGTGGGAACCTTGTTCGTTGCCTTGGTGTCTTCCAGGTGAGGTCAATCTTACTTGTTTTCTCTCTTTAGGAAAGTATCAGTTATGAATTGACAATGGCATAAAATAGATGTGTATATTGGTCAGGGGTTGGTTGGCCTATAGAGGAATAGGGATATCGGGAATTAATACTACTGCCTTTCCTTGTAGAATGAAGAGCGGAAGCATCGGACATCTGTGTACATTCTCTTGGTAACCGAGGAGATGCCCGAATGGGAAGACTCCCAGAAAATCGGTGAGAATGCACTTTCCTGAGCCACTGTTTCAATCAGCCTTCAGAAAGCTTACAAATCTGAAAGTGCTGATTTAGGATTAGGAAATTCTGGGACTCATTGTACTATATACTGTAAGCTTTGATGATATGCCTATATAAGCTTTCCATCTTGTCATTGAAATTGCAATAGGCCTGCAAGTGAGGCTGAGTAACATGGTGATCTATTCCATGTGCCACACAATTGACATAGTGTATACAAGTTCCTTTGCATATGTCTGCTCTAATGCTTTTAGAGTACTATTACATTGAGCCTGGCTGTTTATGTGAATGGATCTGGGGTTATGTAGGAATGTCATTTTCCTTTTTCTTTCCTCATTTTGTAGTTCCCTGTAACCATATTATCCCTCTCCATAATCAAGTATGTAATTATTCTGTTCTGCAACAGCTTTGAGTATTCTTGAAAAGCTTTCTCCCCAGTTGCTTCTATCAAGTTTAGATATAGGCTGTTATCTGTAGAGCAGGGGTGTCAAACTCGATTAGGCTGGGGGCTGTATGGAAGCCTTTAGGGGTGATTAGGGGCCACAATAAGTCTAGCACCTAATCAGCAAACAGACTGAAATTTGCATTACTTTTCTGTTACCAACTGTTGAGAAGGACTTCTCGAGCTGGACCAAATGGACTGGCGGGCCAGATCCAGCCCGCGAGCCGCCAGTTTGACACCCCTGCTGTAGAGTATGTGAAGATGGGTGTTCCTAAAGTTATCTCTCTGACAGTGGTTCTTAACCTTTTTTGGCTGCAACCCAAATGCTAGTTCGACATGGTTATTATAAGCTTAGAATCCAGACTGCCCTTTTTTAGCATTTGACAGACTGATAGGAGGAAAGGCATGTTTGGGTAGCATGAGTGACCTAGACTATAAAGGAAAGTTCGACAGTCACTGGAGACCCTTGGCGAGCCACTCAAAATGGCTTGGCCCAGATTGGGTCGCGACCCAGGGGTTTAGAACTACTGCTCTATGAGGATTAAATACGGTGCTGGATTGCCGCTCACCACTTGCTGAATTGGAGTTCAGTTGAGCCTACGTCTTGTTGACATTGTTATTGCAATCCCAGGCGTCTACGTCAATCAGGAAGTCGTAGGCATAGGCTCATTCATTTGTATACTGGCGGCATTCATGTGTCAGTGGACCTCTGTCCTTGGTTCTCTGCGAGACTGTTTTGGCGCACTGTCGTTTGTTTTAGGACCTGCCCTCTCCTTGATCCTTGCGGTGATCGACGTGCCTATTGAAATAATCGAAAATCGAACGGTTTCACGGGTACGCGTTAAAGCGAGGAGAGCTGAGCGGAGTGTTACTTCCAGATAAGATCCAAAGCAGAAGCTAATAATTTTTAAAAGGGGGTCTGGGAGAGCGAACCAGCGATGCATGAAATTCTTCAACCCCACCCCCCTCCCATTTTCTTCGTGGAATCTGTATAAGTACTGGGGATGGGAGATCACGAGGATGCTGAATAAGGAAAGACCGCTTTTCAAGGTAATTTCATCGATCCCCGCCAAATTAGGATCCCGCGGCAAGGAATCGAGATTCCCTCTGTAATAAAACATAGCAGGGAGGGGGAGGAGAGATACCTTGAGCAAATGTTACATGTACCTGGGGACTCGGCTTCTGGCTTCAGGTGAACGAGACAGTCGTCTTAGTTTAGATGAAGGGATTTCTCTCCCCGTCTTGCCATGGCACTTGCAAAGACCTTCGTGCTTTTTTTCCGAGCTATCTCCCACGTCTTCAGGAATTTTTTATTGCATCAAGACTGTCTTGGTAACACGCGACTAAAAATTGTCCACCGTCCCCTCCGAAAGAGGGAAAATCTTAGTTCCGATCCGAAATATTTTGAGGGGTTCGAAGCAGTATTCCTGGCCAGGTTCCCTCGCGATCGATACCATGTTACCGCGACTATTCGCCATACTCGTAATAGCAATCTCTTTGTCGTATTTCATTTTGCTGTCCGCATTGTAAAAAAAGAAGGGCTTATACTTCCACGCTCATCGCCAACGTATTTGAGTTGAAGCGGGAGCGATCGAAAGATGTTGGGAGTGGAATAGTACATTCATTGATCGATGTGAGATGAGACAGGGGAGGATATGCCAACTGCAGAAGAGGGTCGATGACGGACTGGCTGCCGCCAACGAACCGGGTCTACATTAGCGCATGGTTTCTCTCAGCCTCCTGTCAAAACGACGGCTGAGAGTTGAGACTCACGAGTCACAACTCAGGTCAGATCACTCCTTCCTCGCTTGTCCCGATGATGGGAGAAGGAGCTTTCTGACCCGCCATCTCGACCGTGTCGGTTGGCAATGGGTGCGGCCGAGGGTTATTGCGCTCAAAATAGCAATGCTCATGTGACTCGTTTGTGCTCCCTGTATCTCCTTCCCATTCCCGTTACATTGCTCTTTGGCTAGTACTGGGTCTCTTTCTCTCACTTCTTTTCATTAAGTTGATTCTCAGCCCAAATGCAAAAGTTGATTTTGGCACTAATGCATTCATTTATTCCATTCCTCATGGTGGATCCCGTAGCACGTCTTTAGAGATCATCAGTAGTCCATTAACAGGATTATTCAAATGTCTTTGTGCCGCTACAACTTTAATTAACTTCTTGCTAACTACAACGGAATATGGGTTTTGCGCAAAAAAAAATGCAGCTCTGGAAGTTTTTTAATGTAAAAATCTGTATGATGTCATACCCTTCACAATGATGTTAACCAATGTCTACAGCCTCGATTCGCCCTGCAAATGTGGAAAATGACACTGTCGGCAGATATATCTGCAGTTTGAAAAGCCCCCGGCATATGGAGCTCGAGTGAGAACCATGGTAAAGTGGATAATATCTCAGGGAAAATTTGCCAGAAACTCTCAGAGTTGTATTGTTTTTGTCCCACTTGCTTTAATTTGCGTATCAAATGGGGAAGGGAGAATGCTTCCCATAGAAACCTCCATTTCCCTTTTTTAAAAATAATTTTGAGTGAGTTTTGTCTAATAGCATTTAAGGAGACACAATGTTCGAATTTCAAATAGATCAACAATAGGTGATACGTTTCGTCATCAGGAAGCTCCCAATTATCTGTATCAAATATTCAGCAACTTCCGCCCGTATCATTTTAAGTGTGGCAGGTTGCTCGAATTTCGAGCTTCCGGGTTTGAATGAGATAGGGAATGATTTTGGACTCTGCACGGGATGCGGATCGGCTCGATTTGACCTACCCAACCCGCGGATCTGGCGTGTAGCTCGGTTGGCAATTGGTCGCCCGATCGGGACCGGCGAATACTTCATGAGTTCTGAGGCTTAGAGGCCTAAACGGGCTCCGAGCCGGCCCGGTCGACCCGACACGACCCGCGAGTCTGGCTTATGAAGCCCAGTCGACGTTCGAGTTTTGTGTCTGATGCGGGCCATGATTCGAATCGGGTCGATCGGGTCGTGTTCGGAAAAACCGACCCATGCAAGATTCTGACGGACTGACAAACATTGGCTATTATTGCATAGTTGAGAGAAATAGAATTTGTAAATACTGTATATACTTTTGAACATAAACTGTTGTCTTACAGAATAGCATACATGTCTGCAATTATAAGGAAATGTAAGAAAGGGTTTGATAGTGAATGTAACTTGCCCCCTTCCGCAGGCCGGAGGCGAAAGTGGTTTCCTCTCAAAGAAGCCATAGAAGAGCTGTCCATTTACAAACCTGTTCAGACCAGCTATCTGAAGATGCTTCTGCCCTCCAACAACAAGTTGTCATGATTTTCTTCTTTCTGGTTTTCTTAAACTTTCTTTTTCTATATATGTGCTTGATTTGCTCTTTGTATTTCAAGTTTACCAGCTGTGTGCAAGGAAGCAGTGAAGGAAATGGGGACAGAAATATTTTTCTTATTTTATCTGCATTCTCTTGAATGAAAGATGAAATTTATTACATTGGAAGGGGACTATGCAGGATGAATTACAAATTGAATTAAGATTCTGTTAGCTATTGTGATACCTTCTCCTTAGCTATTTCCCCTGATCATGTATCCATGATGGAGCCACTTCTCTGCATCTTTCTTTGCAGTAATATTCATTTTAGCCTTCTTTAAGGCTGCTTGGTTTTGGTTGTATCTTGAAAACTTACATTAAGTGCTTGCCTCCTCCCCATTTGGGATTGCACTTCTTCCTTTTCTCTGTACAAGTTGTTGCTGACTTCACTGTTCAAGCCATGCCCCTATCAACTGGGGTGTGGTGGTTGCATTGCTCCTTTCTCTTCTCCTGAACTGCTCATGGCACATGGAAAAGAATGGATTTCTTCTTCATGATCGCTTGAGATCTGTGAAGTGATTGTGCTCTGTGTTACCCTCAAATGTGCGGCTCTTTTTGAGCTCGTAGTTGCTTATGATGTTCCATTGAATCTCATCCTCCATTTATACATCTCATCAACGCTTTTTTGTAACATAAGTAAACATGAATGAACATCAATTTCAAAGAAAAGAAAACTGGTTCTTCCAACTCTCTTCAATATGTAAGGAGCTTCTCAATCCTCTGTTCTGACAATCAAACCAAGTAAAGTTCTGCATATTCCTTGCAAAATATATGAGGAGCCTCAAGGCTTGAAATTGTGAGCATGAACAGCTTCGATCAGAGTTGAATCAGCTAAGCAGCCTAGGTTCATAATCTTTGGTACAGTTAATCCATTGCCAAGAGGAAGTGCTTCTGTGGGCTTTGATAGATTGATCTCTTTTGTTGAAAAAAATTCAGCTTTCTCTTATGCTGTATCACTTTTGGAACCTTGATAATGCAAAATTGCAGTACATTCATTCATTGCCTCCTCATGTAGGCCTAACCTTAGCAGTGATATTGCAAAACTTGTGAACTTGATGAAGCATATTTGTCATTTTTTCACCAATACAAGGCCAAAGAAGAGCAGCTGGGTAGGTGTTTTTCAGAATCTTGCCATTATACAGCTAAACAGTACATTTCTCTGCCATAGTGTTCCTGTCAGCATTTTCAACTGTTATAATAAATTCCAGACCTGAATTGAACTCTGCAGGGAGCTGTACTGGCATATGTGGAAAAAAAATTTTTTTCATGGCATTAATTTTTTTCTCTTGCATCTAGTCTCAACGAACCATGCCAGGTAGTGTATGTCAGGATCCTACTTTAGGACATGTTCTGCCATTGATGCTGCCCTCCCATTTTATAATTTCTCAGGATTTACTTTTGTCACATCTTTGCATTCCCATACTGATGAATCATTTGGAGTAACAACATATCCATCATGTTGTGTGCCACCTCCATCCTCAGGTCATCTCCAAGAGGAGATGACTGCACTGATGTGTTTAATGTGCAATATTCATAAAGTCAGATAGATACCAGCTCCATATGTTTATATGAAATTTATTGGTTGGAATTTCTGTGTAACTGATGGCGCATTTTTTAAAGGATTGCTCTGATTTTTTTCTTTCTGAGAAAATCAACGTTTCTTACAATTTGTGTTTCATTTGGAATTTCTTCCACACTACAGAAGTTGGGGGAGGAGTGGGAAAGGTAAAAGAATGAGACTGGTAATTTTGTAACCATGATCATGTGACTCTTTTATTTATGCTAGCAGTTTTGCTCACACACTTGAGACAAATTAGAATTTATTTTCCAATCAGAGGCATGAAGAGGTCAGCATGGTAGTTATGCTGTGCTTGTCTGATTGGGCTAGCTTAACGAAGCATGTGTTATGGAGCAAGGTCACTTCCATTACATTATGTGACCTTTTCTGTCATTGCACGGTAGTGTCATGATTAGGACAGAGTTGTGCACATTCATTCATGCCCTGTGCATACTGATTGGAATGCAGGCCCCTGGTAATGCATCTCAGAGACTATGGCTCTGTCCCTGCCTTCTGTGATGCATAGGTGATTCATGGGGCACGTGCAGTGGTAGTAGGTCGAGAAGAAGTCTGTCCTCATGTTCCCACACTTCTCCCGCTCTCTGCACACATTCAGCTATTAGAACCACATAAGCATGATAATAGGTTCAAGAGAACTTTTTTTATCGAGAGGGATGAAGGAAAAGGGCTTACCTGGGCACAAGCATAGTCATGCTTCTCTGGGATGGTGGCATTCACTTCCTGTTGGGTATTAGGTGGGATTTTCACCCAATGTCTCCATTGAGGGCAGAAACATGTTGTTTGGGTCTCCTGGTGAATTCGACGATTATGAGGAGGACCTGTGTATTGCCGAGTGATTGTAGCGGCCACTTGGGTTGCATTGCACACTCCGAGCTGGATCAGAGGGTTGCAGAACTAGTTTCCATGCCAACACGAAAGAAAAGTCCCCTCAGCTTTTATGCCGTTCTATTCGATTTGAAGACCGAACCTAGTGTCTGATAGAATGCTGGTAGTAAATACCTTGAGTTGGGACCGATTACTGAGCCACATTGTATAATTATCGGATTCCGAACCCCAAGAATACGGACAGGGCGTTCGATCAGGGCACAGACATTGCCGTTCCACCATCGTCGGAAGCCAGTAACGATTGTGGATGATGTTGCAAGCCGAATAGGGACTTCTGCATATCTCCATATCGTATTCACTCCGAACCTTTTTAGTTGAAGGAGGAGATTGTGTTCACTGTACATCGATGCCTGATGGTGTGAACAAGGACTTACGCCCGCTGGGAAGACGAAGACGACGTCGTCGAGTTCCGAGGACTCGTCCAGATCTTGGCACAAAACTCCAGTTAATAGGAACGAGAAGAGGACGAAGGAATTCATGGTGAAGATTCACCGAGCAGTTCCTGACGTGACTGTTGAGAGAGTATGAGAGAAGGACACGAAAAGGTGAGGGAAGCGTGCCAATTTCTTCGCGATCCGCAGACAACTACGTTTTCTTTTTCTTTATTCTGCCTTGTCACCGCATCGTCACTCAGCCCGGGAGTTTGACGCCACGAGGATGTCAAATCGACTTCCCCCTTCCTATTTTGCCTTATGGTAAGACATGTCAGAGGTTAGATTGACCGTAAAACTCAGAAACGGCTGAGAATTCCGTCAGCCTACGTGCTGGAAGTACGCCAGCTTCCTTAATTTCTCGAATATTCTCCCTCGCACTTCTTGAGGCGCACTTTACCTTAATCTGAAGAGGGAAAAAAATTGACCTTCATTGACATGAACAGTATTATGAGGCAATGCACACCACAAGAATAAGCGTACAGGAATTCCTCGACTTACGTCGTTTCGATATTACTTCGTTAACATATTAGGGAACAAATTTCCATATACGTTGCGTCGTTCCGATATAACGTCATAAATCGAGGACTTCCTGTATATCATTTAGTCCATGGGAAAGTAGGTTTCGATATACGTCGTTTTGTTTTATGTCGTGTTTTCCGGGAACGCATCCACGACGTGAATCGAGAACTTACTGTACTCTCCTTGGGATCTTCCGGCCGACCGACAGCAAAAGTTGTGTACCAATTGGTATCGATGGACTCGTCTCGAGCCATAAAAAGCATGCGTCCCGAGATACTTTTGAGGGTCGTAAATACTGATTTAGTTGTGAAAGTACTGAAAAGTACAACTGACTTAGAGCAACAAAAAAGCTGGTTGGATTTTGATGAATGGTGAATGAATATGAATTAGCGTTGGGGAGAATTGGTGCTCCTTTCATTACAGTTCTCAAGTGCTGAAGTGCAAGAGGAACTGATCCTAAAGGTACTCACGATTACTCATTTTCTGAAGGATGCAGACGGCCCCAGGGCACAACTACTGGACGGAATATTGCAAATGAGGTACCGATGGACTCTCCTCGAGGCACTAAAGTCCTGCTTACATGATACTAGTAAGTAACAGCTCGAGCTGAAAGTACAAAAATTCAGTTATGGTCCAATGTGCACTCTGACCTAAAGATATGCTTCCAGGGTGGTTTGCGCTGGGAAACCCAGTGCAAATAGATTTGGATTGAGTTACACTCAAGATGAGAGAATGCTTCTGGGTCAAAGGTAACAAGTTCCTAAGGCTTGCAATACTAAAGAGTACTTTGAACAAAGAATTTAACCATTTTGAAGAAATGAGGGATTTCTGGAGTCACCTTCGCAGGAGGATCTTCCTACTGCTCTCCTATGCCTTCCCCCCTCCCCCCATGAAAATCGCCAATCACGTCTGCACTCTTCAGCAATCACTGCTAACAGTTTAATGACAGGAGATGACTAATCGTATTATACCCACTCTCCAAATACGAGTCTGAATACAGACTTGATCAGGATTAATCTAAATGGACACGTTAAACTCGTGTTCCTGTTCAAATACGAACATGAATGCTTCTCGGACATTCGAGATACTAAAAATTCTAAGAAAAATTACGAGGTTCAGTTAAATGGAAACGAGAAAATCGCGATATAAAATAATTCCCTGTTGATGGACGTCCAATACTTTCAGTGCATGTTTGCAGAGATTGCGTGAATATCTGTCAGCTGGCAACACCATGCGACCAGAAAGAACAGTGCAATCGCTTATAAGCAACACGGTGTTCACAGTGCCTTGTGCGTCCAAGGAACCCCGACGTGCTGTAATTCGATTTCTGACTGCTAAAGACGTGTCACCCATCGAAATCCATTCCCGAATGGGAGCACTCATAATCAGCGTCCAGCATAGCATAGCGTCTACGCACGGACGATGAAATGTAGGAGGCTGTCACATTGCGGTTCAAATAGCAACTGCTGAGATTTTACGAGGCTGGTATAAACAATATTGGGAAGCATAGGAATCTGTGCCTCAACAATGGTGGGGGAAACTGAGAAATAATGCACCCACTGCAATAAGAAAAATAACTTGTTTTCATTTGACCGACCCATGTATAATTAGAGATGACTATTATCTCATCCTCGAAAACTTTGTGAGGTTTCAGAAACCATATTAATTTTCCATATGGGGTAGGCCCCACTTAAAATACCAATAGCTGCAGGAAACAAACCTATTCGTCAGAAACTTGTATTTCGGTTTCTTTTAGTCTATCAGTTGAATGCATCAGAATACTCCGGAGGCTTAAGCCCCTTTTGTCCCTCGAAATTCCCACGGCCTTTGTACTGTAACGATCCGGGTGCCCTAAAACTGGGTATCCCCCTTTCCTCCCTTCCATCCTCTTCCTAAAGTCCTGCGGACAGATGATGATTCTGTGAGAAAGAATTGGAGTCCGAGTACAGGAATCGCCTCACGGGAAAACCCACCGTCTACTTTCGGATCCTTCGCGAATCTCATCAGCCGCTTCAAATGTCGAGTGAATCCACCTGCAGATGATTCATGCAGGAGACTTTCACGCTGCGAACCTTCCTCACGGGGAATATCCCCATTCCCCATGATTTTAGGTTCGATTCTGCGAGGGCTTTGCCTCTCTCGTCTCTTCGCATGAAAAAGGGCCCCTGTCGCAGTGAAAGCCGCTTTCCGAGGCCATCGTGCTCTGCCGATGAATAAGCGCTGGGATTTCCCAGGTCGAATGGATCGCGTGAACGAAGGTTGGGCGACATCGCCCACTCACCGGGTCTCCATGGCGATGCATTCAAGCCCAGCTTAGAATCTACGGAACAAAGCGGGGAAAAACCAGTGAACACGTTAGACCCATGCATTCCTCAAAGCTCCATTCCATTTCCCATTCTTCGCTCGGGAATTTTCGCCCGTCATTACGTCACGATGACCGAGAGATTGCTAACTAATGCGCAATTACAACCACGAGCGATAGATTTAAAAAATGGGCTAGCTTATTCTCTTGGGTTATCCCCGGCTCAAAATTCCCCGGTCACGCCCGAAGAGTAAATGTAAGTCAGACTCAATAGAAATTGCGCCTTTCCTGCCCTGCGCATACCTCAGGGGAGGGAATTTTCCATATAAAATTCACCCCGTTCTCTATCCTCTCAGTCGTCTCATCTAAGATTCACTCTGGCTGTGACTGTCATCGAGGACACAGCACCACGTCCCACTTCAGTGTCCGTTCCCCATGATCCTCACCGAGGTGAGCTGAATCGACTTCGCCAGTTCTGATGAGTACCGCGCTGAGTACAATGTTACATCGTAAAAGGGACGTGTGTCTCAAACGTGAGCAGGTTTTTTTATCCCATCATCGTAGTTCTAAGTGTCAAGGATCTTCCCTGGAATTCACCGTAATGAAAGGGGCCTCCAAAGTCGGAATAAAATGAAACCGTAACTTGTCAAGGAACATTACAAGTTTCTAATAGCCAAAGAAGAAAATTGGCAGTCCAGGTTTTAACATGCACTTGCACAAGAACCCATCTGCGATTCCCTGGCCTTCATAAGATGCGCCATAGCTCTTCTTATGAAGGCCAGGTTCTCTCAGGTGACACAGGCTGCTTCCGAATGCCTCGCGTCTGTATTTTATCAACCGTTCAAAATATCGAGGCAATCGTAATTTATGCCTTCGCGGGCCGTATTAACGCTGGGAAGTCTTCGCTCATGAGGCAAAAGGGCCATTGAATAAATGAATCCGGAAGACGCCTCGAAATGAGAGGAACCATGCATCACCCGCTTGATTCGTGGAAAGCACTACGGAGGTCAGCTGGAGGAGGTGCCAGGCGTGAAAGGAACGAGAGGCTGCTTGGACATAGTTTACACCAGTGGTATTCAAACCTTCTGAAACGGGGGTCGCACCCGGAAATGACCAACCTTACGTGGGTCGCCCTGAAAAAAATGGATTACTTTTTAAAAAATCTCACGTTACAGGATAGTGAGTTTTGTCTCAGTAGGCCGCGGTTAGAATACGACTGGTCTACAATGATGGACTGAACAGGGCAGGGAAGAAAGAAAAGAAGTGACAGACTGGCCATTTCATTGCTCCGACAGAATACCAAGCGTACTCGTATTTCATGGTAAAGGACTGCTGTGATGTGACGTCATTGGAAAACATTCAGGGATTCTTACTTTGCTTCTCTTACGTGTGAAACACCCATCGAAAGATCGAGTAGGAAGTAGGAAAATGGAGGACGACAATGACAAGATAACCATCACACAACTTATCATATGGTTGAATGGGTACAGTCCGTATATTAACTTATAATATATTTACTTATATACGTCCGTATATTTACTTATTTTTAGAAATGCATTGATTTAGGAAACTGGAACCCGTGGGGAAAAAATGAACCGTAAGAAGGCTACATAACGGAAAGGGGAATGAACGCTGTTCACAATTTCACTGGCAATTCCATTGACGGCATTGAATGACGAAATACCTTTGAGAAACAAGTTTCTTTCGACACAAGGACTGCCCAGAGACGATGAAACCAACATTATTTAGTTCTGTAAAACTGCAGCGCGAGTGTCGATTTCTTCGACCTGCTCTCTTTTTTTAAAATTATTTTAAATAATACTTGTGCATTCATCTGAAACTAAGAAAGTGTCGGGTATAATATTTATCACATAATACGTGCATCAAATGTATATCACATTTTAAACAATATGTAATACTTCATGATTATTTATTTATGCTAATATGCTGGGCAGTCGAAGGATTAAAGATCCCCAATTCAGGTTGCAACCGTGATATCCCATCGAAGGAACTACTCAACCCCCATTTGCATCGTTCATCTGGATTGGAAAAGACTTGAAAACGACTGGAAATACGAAGAATCTACACCTGACAGAATTTTTATGAATTACGTCACTAGGATCTCCTTAATAAACATTAACATATGCACTTAGAAACTTCGTTCGAATCGAAGAATAATATTACCCCGTTGAAGCCCCAACGCTCTTATCAATTTCGGGTGTGATATTTTTTTGACCATGACTACAGAAAAGAGAGGGAATATCGAAATTTTGCCACAGCAACTGGACTCAGGGTCACAAGGACATTGTAGGCAGTGGCGTAGGGAAGGGGGGGGGGGGTTTAGGGGGTTAGAACCCCCCCCAATTGGGCTTCCCGGTCGGTGACACTGACAGGCATATTTCAACCTTCCTTGGGAATTCCAATTTTAGCTATGCCCCTTTGAGGAAAGTCTGATGTCCGTCCACAGACCCAAGATGCCAGACCATGATTTCTTTGAAAAGGTATATTGCGGGTAGTGGAGCTTGGCGTAGGGTTGGGGTGTCTACACCTGGCCTCAACCCCCCCACCCCCCCTTGTCGATTTCCTGCCTACGCCACTGATTGTAGGACATGATCTAGGCCCCTGTCCGGCAGCTGCCAGCCTGTTTTCGTTCCATGCCGGGTCTAACCCTCGAAAGAGCAGCAGTCGTGCCTAAAATGAGACGTTAAAAAGGAAAAGTTTCTCTCTCACATTCATCACCTCCACCAATTCATGCAGGTTAGACCTCTACACTGAACACCTACCTGCTTCCTGAAATACCAGGTGGAGTTACTTCGGTATCCCAGACTGATTACAGAATGCTGATTACGTGGTGTAACTCATTCGGCCGAGTGGGATTCATTTGTACACCAATCTCATTCCCCATAAGAAGCAATGAAAGGCCACGAGCACATTATAAAAAGACATCCAGTGACAGACGGAGCCAAGGTCTCGAGTGGACGGGGAACCCAGCCTGTTGGCGGGATTTAGTCCTCCTTTTCGCCTATTCTAATTAATTTATGGATTTCTTAATTTATGGATGGAAAAGCATTCAATCCATTATGGAAACTCCTCCACTCAGGGCTGTTCAATGCCACATATGTATATCTGGTTTTTCAAAGTTGTTAGTCGTAAATGAGAGGTAATTGCTGGAACAATGCACTTTCCAAAAACCCCATGACCCAAAATCCAATCAAGATGCCATTGCTCATGCTGCCTAACTAAAAAAAAAATTTCACTATATACAAAATATGGGTTTAGTTTAAGAATGCGCTGATATGAATTTGAAATAGGGCATCGTATTTGTGTTAATACTTATCATCTATTGAAACCAGGTCTTGCACCTGTCTATGCTCTCAATTCAGCTCTTTGTCGAGGGAGCAAGACCTGGTTTCATGCATCGGGGAGGAGATTTTTTAATATTATGAATGTCTATCATATATGTGGTGTTATATTTTCTTTTTTTTTCGGTAATGGAAACATATACTGATTCCAAGGAAGGAGCTGGAGCAACATTAGTCACCAAGTCCAACAAGTTCAAAATACAAACCATATATCCTGAGGCTATTTGCTTTTTAACAATACATATGCTTCATGTTTTGGCATCTTCGTTGTCAAAGGCACTGGAAATGAGATTGGAACGTTGGGGTCCATCCTTTCAAAGTCGGGTGCTTTTGGTGTGAAACCTTCCCCATGCAATTTAACCCCACGTAACAATATCACATTTGATTTTTTTAAAACTGTGTTTCAGGTGTGCGTTCGTCGACTGATGAAGTTGATGAGTGTTTATATGTTGTGGGTATTGGTGACATTGGAGTCGGTGGCGGGACAATCTCCCCCATGTGGTTTATGCTCTCCTGCTGTGGCGGCATCATGTTGTTCGTACTTCGGAATCTGCTGCTCGAATTCTCCTCAAGGACCGTGGAGGGTCATTTCTGGCAATGTATAGCACCACCTCCTGTGCTTACCTTCGCATCAAAACCAAAGAGAACGTCCATCACTTACTTTTTATTATGTACACACACCAATCCACCAACGCATCCCTATGGATGCCTGTATGCGCTTCCGTGAGGCTTTCTTTCAAATCCAATACATTTTTGTCCGATGTCAAATAATTTGCACAATAAACACGATTGTATTATTTTGATACTTCGGTTCATTGATTCACCAAGATCACCGACGCGTGAGACAGTTAAGCCCACTATTGAGGGGACGATCATTGCGGCCACTCTTTGATGAGATTCTCGATCAAGAACATTTGAGAATTCCCGGACAAACTTCTGTGACTCTTTGTTTCGGCGTCGTCGGAGCTCTGCACTAGGTGACTAGGTGGTCGCCGCTTCCTCTTCCTTCTTCTGTAATTCCCATTTTCGAACATATCCAAGCAGTTCGAGTCCAAAGTCCAAAAGCTCCCTTTCCCAGGTTTCCCTTTCTCTCGAGGAAGCCTGATGAAGCATTCGTTGAGGCTTAGGTTGTGACGAATCGAGTTCTGCCATCCTTGCTTGTTCTGCTGATAGTAGGGGAAACGCTCCATGATGAACTGATAGATGCCGCTCAAAGTGATCTTGTGATTCGGAGCTGACCGGATGGCCATCGTGATGAGAGCTATGTAGGAGAACGGCGGTTTCTGCACTGCCGCATTTATCCCAGACTCAGTGCCGGGGACGAAGCCAGACGCGTAGGACCCTAGGAGAGTGTGTCCACTCGGAAGGCAGTGAGCACCAGGGCACAGGTAGCCCGAGTTGGAGTCGTAGTAACAGGCTGGACACTGGATGTTCATGATCGCGACGTGGACAGACCCAACCACTGCAGTCCCGCTACCGTAGAGACCACACCGACGAGAATCGAGACTGAAGAGAGAGAAGAGAATGTACGACAGGGAGAGGAGGGGCCTCCTCCCCCTCGACACAGTTGGTGAAGCCTCGGCCCGGCTGTGTTTGTTGAAAGTTCGCCCATCTCTTGTTGGACTTTAAGGTCAATGTTTACACTCGGGCTATATTTTAAAGAAACAGAAGCAAACGTTTAGACAGAAGCCCGACCACAGTAGATGGCATCGCGTAAAAGTAAACGCCCGGCCCCGCATGGGAGGACTCAGAAGTGACGAGGTTCATCCCGCCTACTTTCTTTCCTTCCTTCCTTCTTTTTTGTCGGCATCTTCGGCCCACCCAGAGCGAGAGGATTTTTGGCATAAACCTACTCCATCGATATGAGCATCTCATTTTAATGAAAGACAAACATACTCTGGCTACACGGCAATATTTATCCTGTAAACTCTTGCCATTTTGCTCTCCCTCTCGCCTCGGCAGGAGAGCCTCCGCTTACCAGGCAACCCAATTACTAATGTGCTTGACTTGAATCCATTTTCATTCTCTCTCGCGTGGTGCGTAAACACGGCCCGGGAAGGAATAAAAATAGAAGGAAAATAGAGACAAAAGTACAAGAAGAAAACAAAGACGAAGTAGAACAAAGACAGGAGAGCGAGAGATTTCGTCGCATACGCGAAAAGGAAATAAAACCAAGAATGATAAAGAAGACAAGAAAGTGACGAACATGCAAATAAAAATGAACACCACTCAAGCGAAGAAAACAGAAAGATAAGAAAGAAAAGGGAGAGAGGGATCCAATAAGGGTCAGGCCCATCCCCTCCACGAGACTCTGCAAGTATGAGCAGGCATCTGCCGGCGACCAAGCAATTGACTTAAAAGCAAAAATCCATTATTACGAATGAAGTACTGTCCCACTGGGGCGTGCCTTTTGAGGTGTCAGGTACTCATTTCTTTATGCTGGTAGTGTTGAAAAGACCTGCGTTACGAAATGAATCGATTTGAAGCGTCTATGCCCTCGTCGAAGTCTTTTAGGGGTATCGCAGATCGAACAAGCAATGAAACCCGTGAAGGACTAAAAAGCCTCAGCAATTCAGAGAAAATCAACGGGTGAGACAAAAGCAAAAAATCTTTAGTCGATGTCAACAAATGTAATTTCTACGAGCTCGTCTTCCCTAGGTAGTCTGCCTTTTGAGGTCCTAAATTACGACCTTCTCGTATTGACCTTATTGAAAGTGCTTTTCATGAAGTACAGCCCTGATCAGAAAAAAAGAATGATTTTGTCTCAGCTCAAGGGCGTGCTTATTATGAGCAATAACAAGTACTGTCATATACATTAAACATTCACAGGCTCTTCAGCGCAAAAACTTACGGGTGGATCTCGACAAATGGGCACTGATAGACTCAGCTTACCTCTGGGTTGAACTTTTGGGGCATGAAGTACCCCTACCCCGGGCTCCTGCTTCTGGCAGTGCTAATGCGAATCCTCAGCGTACATCCCCCATACTGAACTCCTAACAGGCTTTTTTAAATATGCAACAGTGGCATTCTGCGTCGCAACCTAGAGTACCCAATTGTAAAAGATATTAACCATGCATTCCCTTAAAAGCACATCTCATTCGTCATAGGCACTGCACGTCATTCCGGCACAACTGAGAGAAAGCCACGAGTTAGCGAAACCCTGTGGGCAACGCAAGCGCATCACAACCGCCCATGAATGTCATCCAGGACATAAAAACGGCATGGAGAGACCGGACAGTCCGTGGGACGCGCAGGAATCTTCGCATTCACGTCGTCCAAGGCGATTCGTGGGCGTAGGACCGAGATGCCTTCATTCTCTCTGACGGAGGACAAAAAGCTCGTGAGATTTGGACTCCTAGGCACTTTAGAGTTTCGACCTTCGAATCCCCCGATTTGTCTCAGTACTGTGAACATTTTGTGTAAGGTGATTTTTTTCCATAATTTTTTCTCGGTTTCAGTTCGTGCCGACTAGAGCAATAAAACATTTGCCGAACATCTGTCCAGCAGTTTTAAATCCCGGCTGGAAACAGCCATAAAATCCAGCTGGACCCCAGCTGTAAATCCAGACCCATTCCAACAGGGGTAACAGCTGGAAGGTAAAGTCACACCCAGATTGGTTCCAAGTTCCAATACCCACTGGTGGAATGGGAATTTTGAGGTCCATCTTCAGATGTAGCTGAATTTCAACTGTGAATTCAACTGTGAATTCAGCTGTATTCCAGCTGGAGGGTCTTCTGTGTAAAATTTTAGCTGGAAACGGTTATAAAAACCAGCTACGAGGTATGTCGCAAAAGTTCCAGGACTGATGTCATAAAAAATAATGGAAGGTACTTACAAACTAATGGCGCTTCCCCCCTTCAAAGTAATCTCCCTCTGCATCAATGCACTTGAACGTGTGGAATGTCCACATAGCGATGGCCTTTTATGGCTCTTTTGAGCCGTGGGAACAGAAAAAAAGTCCGGTGGTGGCAAATCAGGCGAAAACGGTGCATGAGGCAAGACAGTGACTTGTTTCTTTGGCCAAAAACTGTTGGATTGACAGTGCTGTGCGTGGGCGCGCATTGTCATGCAAGAGGAACCACTTTCCGTCATCATCATCATCATCAACATCATCATCATCATCATCATCATCATCAATATCAACGGGGAAGCGTGCTGCGCGGGCCATCACAGGATTGAACGTGTCAGAACTTGCATGGAAGTTGGGATTTGAGTCTAATTCGCGCAAACATAAGAGAAATTACATGAATAGCTCCCGATTTTTTTAAATTTTAAATCAATCCTGGAACTTTTGCGACATACCATGTACATTCCAGCTGGAAAATTCCAGTTGTCTTAAATACAGAGAGTTGTATTTAAAAAAATACAGTTCCTGCCCTTACAGGCGTGGAACTGCGACTTTTGGGTTTACGAAACTCCTGTGAAGCACAAATCATCTGCGGATTGCTTCACAACGTTTTGCATTTTGGAATTCGCCATGAGAGATGAAAAATTTGTCGCATCCCTGAGAAGCCATTCTCACTTTGACCCAGCGTCATGCAAACCCCAGCACTGCATATAATCGTGAGTAAAGTAGCGGAAAATGAGTTGTTTTGGAATCGGCATCTCCTTTCGGAAAGAGCCGTTCACCCAAGCCAGCAAGCAAGCAGGTCCAAGCAGCAGGCAAAACTAAGCAGTCCCCGTGAACGCGAATCCCGAACAACTTTGATGCCGGCCTCACCAATGCGCATCCTCCCCGATGAAACAATTAGACACGCTCCAGGGTCACGAGACAGTTGCCGATCTTCAAGCTGCCGACCCGAACCTTCAGTTCCAGCCTAAGCGCGAAGATGATGGGGTCTTTTCGGAGTGTAAACAAATCCTGGAAGTCGTTTGAAAGCATTTCTTCTTCAACTCGTGGACTCTTCGATGCAAAAGAATGCGTAAGAAATTACAATGCGATCTTGAAGTGTTCGATATCATTTAAAGTGTGATAAATACAGACATATATAATGACACAAGACCTTTCAGGTATTATTCAGGTGGGTGCACAAATATTACACACAAAAAAAAACAGGTCGATAATCTTCGACACTCTGGTCCTGAAAAACTCGCGAAGGGTTTATTTTCCCACTCTGATTGTTCCAATGATTAATGGCCAACACGTTTAATCAATACGTCTGCGTCTTGGTCTTGGGTATTCGAGCGGGGACGGACAGAACCGCATCAGCCCGATTAATCTGGTGACGATTAATCCGAAACCAAAGCATCAACAGATTAGAGCTTCACCCGAGGCAATCCAATTTGTCTCGTTCAGCTTGCATCTGTGGCGAAAAGATGGCGACCTGCCCTTTCCGCGTGAAAATTTCCTAATGGAAGGACTTCAAATACTTTTAAGATCGTGGCATTCCGTGAAAACAACACCGATTTTCTACCAGCTGTGGGTTTGATGACAATATTATAATATGATGACTACAATATTATAACCTAATTGCAGAAAGTGTGAATCGTGTCACGAGTCCGAAGGTGATGCCGATAACGAGGAAATCCGTGTCGAAAAAAATGTAAGGCTTGGGAGAAGCACATTCTCTACGCTTGGAGAAGTAAGAATCGAAAGAAATCCTTGAAGTCATCGGTGGCATGGACACTGAGGTCACGATCACATTCAAAGAAGTCGGGCCATGCCGAAGTGGACGAGTCCCGACTTCTGTCGTCATAAATATTGGGTAGATACCGTAAATACCTAAAAATGTTCCACGCTTTATGAATCCGACTGTATTTATGCTACGTTTATTATTTTTTTTTTAGTGGAAGGATAATTTGTTTCCTGAAGGAGGAGGTCGATGTGTCGATGCACAAATACCCATCGCCATGTTTCTCTTGCTAATTTTGTGATTTCACATAGACAGGGTACAGAATAGCATGATATGAAGAAAAACATCGTGATTCTTTTCGTGACTGATTTTGATGCCAAGGATCCAGGGTCATTTCTAGCTCGGATGGCGATCGTCAGAAGAGAAAGCGATACCGAACGGGAATCGCATCCCACAGTCTGCTTTTGAACCCCTCGAGGTGCGTAGGTACCTCGTCGACAGTTTAAGACGATGAGAGTATCCTATCCGCGCATTGTGTCGGGTTCAGAGGCGATTGATACTTCACGAAAACTTGTTTCCTTGTTCAGGGACGTAGTACCAGATAGATTAATCATTCTCTATCCCTTTCTCGAGGTCTATAGTCCACGAAGTTGCGTGTATCTATACTTCTGGAGGCGTGATTTCCTCAAAACCTTCTCTCCTTCGCATTCCTCTTGGATTCATAGTTGGCACTCTTCCTTGAAAATGTCTTTCGTTAGCTAGTCAGCAGAAAGGAAAATTGCGGAATCTCTGAAACCTCGGAAGGGTTCTGCCTTGGCACTGAGGACATGGAAAAGGAATTCGGCACCTTGCAGTCATTGCAT